TCAACGGAGAGTCTCCAGACTGATTAGCGAGTGAAATCTTGAAAGCTTGTGAGATCAGGATGGTCTCACGAGGCTACATCTCTATTAGCTGGTAGAGAAATCATCAAAACGTAGATGAAGCGATGACTGAGGTGGACTGAACACGTATACAGCACAGCTTTAAACGCACACCGTGTAACTTTTAGCCACTAGGGGTGCTAGACTTGAAACTTCCCATATTTTGCTTCTACAAAACATCAAAAACAAAGCTTTTTGACTGCATACTAGGAGCAAAGTGGTAACTTACCAGCCTAATAATAAAGTTGAGAAAAGAGAATCGGTTTTACATCCGGCTTCTTCTTTCTGCCTGAGCCAACGAATAAACTTTTTTCCAAGATCAACTCTTGTTTTTCCTCAATCACTTTCACGTCTTCTCTTTTAGCCTCCTCAGAAGGTTTAACTCTTTCCGTGCCTCAGCTGTGACCAGTAGTCGAGCGGCGCAAAAATAGTAGAGCTAAAGCTTTAGCTCCATGGCTATATAAGAGCCTGTGGCCGTAAAGCTACACGTTCTTCCAGGTCACTTGACCTGGCCAACGATAGTGCATCTTCTCCCAACTTATTCGGTATTTCAAGAGGGGAGCCCCGTTTCTAGCATTGATTGTGTCAATGGCTGTATATTGGCCAGTGAAATCATTTAAAGTAACTTATATGGGTCAACTCTTTAGGTGAAAAAGTCAGCTGTGTGCCTTTAAGAAATTATTTTTTAGAAATAATACATTTGTCTCATAACTATGCAATGCTTTGTGTTGGTCTACTACGCTAAAAGGCATTAAAGTCGTAATGTGAGAAACAGTTTAACGGTTTGTAATACATTTGAAAGACACTTTATCTCAAACCTTTCAATCATGCAGTCCGGTTATTTTTAATTTTTTTTTTAATTTTGCCCTTAAGCAGTTTCATTTGTTGCCTGCAACATTGTATGTTGTCAGAAACCAGCCACTTTGTAAATGAGTTTAGTTTCCTGCAGCAATTTTCAATAATTCACATTTAGTGTTCACTGGATTGTTGTGTTCCCCGTCCCAGGATTCCTGCAGCTCCGAGGGATCCTGCCGTGCAATGCACAAAGAAGTGCTGGCTGGCATTTATCTTCTGGCGACTGCTCATACGCCCTCCGCTGGCATATTTCTACACTCCTGCTGTGGGAACTACAACAAGCACTGTAGTTCCCAGCGGCTGGGGCCCACACCAGAGCCGAGCATGAGAAGGCACGCACTACAGACCTGGCCCAAAGATGGGGTCTTAAAAAAAGGACCTTAAAATTTAACTCACCATGAAACATAAAACATTTATGGAATCCCTTTGATGTCCAAATATGCAGAGAATCCGTGGGTTATTTCTAATCCTTAAGTGAACAGCAGATTGAGAAAATGAAATGGTGGAATCTCAATCTAGTTTATATGCATGAAAATGAATGAATGACCCAAAAGACAAACTTAGATTCTCCAAAGCAAGAAAAGGTCAAATCTGACAGGGTTTCCAATGTATTTAAGGTGTTTAGACTTACTTCTATTAAATGTATCTTTATTTTTTAAAGCTAAATTCCTCCAATTCTTCCCTACAGTGTACAATGCATCTGTTCATCTTTTTTCCCAAAGACATCCACACTTCCTTCACCTTTTCCTTTTTAATAGTCTG